TCCCTACTGAAAAGCAACATATATCCTTTGATGGTGCTGTGACATGGCCCAAAATGTAATATAGCACAAATAATTATATAAAGGGAAAGTCCCAAATGTGCTTATTTTTAAGGAAGCTGTATCTCCCCTTTTGCTGAATTGTATGTCTCCTCTGTAACCTTAAAATGTCTGTTGATTTTATTGAACTTTGGACCATACTCATAATACACTTCTTTCCTGGTAATAGAGTAGAATTGAGACTTTCAGAACAAAAGCAAACATCTTTTTAAATCCTTGCAAGAGACTACATGTTTATATCCAGACTTGTATTTTTAGGCAACTCCTGATCTATTAAAGGGCCAACAAGAACTTGCACAGCAAACAAATGAAGAAACAGCTAAGCAGATCCTTTACAATTACCTTAAGGAAGGGTTAGTAAAGTTTATTAATTTTTTTTTAATGGCAATGGTACTCTTTAAGTTGTTGTTGTTTTATATTACTGCTGGGGGGAAGGGAGAGAGAGACATGGCCTGTCTGGTCATATTAAGTCTATACTTGAGATTTCCTCTATCAGGGGTCAGCAACATTCTTGGGTAGTGCCAAAAACACCCACAACATCTGCTTGGAAGATGATGGTGTGCCAGGGGCAGATGGTGGAGGAGCCATGACAGGCCTGATCTTTGTTGTGGTAGCAGAGCCTGTGCCCTTTCCCCGCTGTCTGCCCTGAGGTGCACATTCACCCACCACCAGCAACAAACTGGGCTGGGGGCTCCACAGATCCCCATGCAGCTGCTTGTAGCCTCTCTGCCACCTGCTGTGAGCAGCCCAGGCTCTGTGGTGGGGGGCAGGGGCCTGCCCAGAGGGCTAGCTGTGCAGGCAGCCAGGAGGCTGCAAGTGGCTGCAGCAAGGTCCATGGAGCACTGGCCCAGCTCGTTGCTGACAGCAAATGCACATGCACCTAGGGGCAGACAGTGGGAAATGGGTCAGGGCTACACTGCCACAACAAAGATTGAGCCCTTTGCATTTCCCCTGCCATCCACCCCAGGTCTGCGTGTACTCACTGCAGCTTCCTAGTTGCCTGCCACAGCCAGGCTGGGCTCTAGGCACTAGGCAGGCCCCTGCTGCCTGCCATGGACCCTGGGCTGCTTGTGGCAGGCAGCAGGGAGACTGCAAGCAGCTGCACTGGGGTCTGTGGAGCCCCAGCCTGACTTGTTGTTGCCAGTGGTGGGTTCACGTGCCCCCTCTGGGCAGACATCAGGGGAGCTGTGAGGGGCCCAAGCCTTGTTGTGGCAGTGCAGTCTTGGCCCCTTCCCCATTGTCTGCCCTGAGGTATGTGTGCTAAGCAAAATACCGTCACATGCTACGCTCTGGCACATGTGCGGGGTGTTGTCAACCCCTGTCCTATATGTTGTTCAGATCCTTTACTACTATAGCAGTCTATGACTCTCTCTCTCTTGTGTACTACTACACATAGAATATTATTGTACTCAGGAAATAATTGGTAGCAGATCACTAGTCCCTGTAAATTACAGTGGAAAATTTATTTTTTAATGTGACAATACAATACAAATTATATTACAATATACAGTTGCAGAGTCCTGTTAAAAATACAATTATTTTAAATACAACTTCTAAAACTGCTATAAATAAGAGTTCTGTGTGATTAAAAAATTGCAGAAGTCTGACTTATGATGCAGAATTGGTTGCTGCTTGGAATGCTACCTAAATAAAACACCAGCTTGTATTGCATGGCTGCATGATTTACTCATCTATAAGAAGTTATAAATTAAGTGCACTGCTACTAAACTTAGACTGTACACAAAAACCTAGAGATTAATTTTAAAATTACTGGGTTTAATTACTGCACTTTATTATTCTGTTCCTCCAGAGTGTCCCATAAGGTCGTATGGGATTTTCCAATTCCCATCTAATCAGGATTTGCCCGCTATACAATTTTTTTTCTTTAAAAATAAAATCATGGCTCTGGGTCCATTTAGACAAAGAATACAGCTCCTGTGGCATGCAAGTTCATGGAGGATTCCAGACCACAGCATCTGAGACTTAAGGTCTTGGACGTTCCTTTTGTAGAACTATATATGCCATTAAGGTGCTACAAAAAGTGAGTGTGCATGTGTTCAGGCAGTAAAGCCGTAAAGACTGTGGATCCACTACAAGTAATTCATTACATTGCTCATTTCTGTTGTGTGCTTGTTTCAGAAGCACTGACAACGATGATGCTACAAAGAGGAAGGTCAACTTGGTTTTTGAGAAAATCCAGACTTTAAAGTCAAGGGCTGCTGGAAATGCACAGGTAAATAGCCATTTTAAATAATTTTTGTTTGTTTCCTAGTTATAAAATGCTCAGATACAGAACTGCCATTGGTTTTGTAAAAAGTGTCGGGTTGTGAGGGAAAGCATACAGTAGCAAAGTTAGTTAAGGTACACAAAATAATTTAATTTGGATTTCTGTTATAATCTAATCTGGCAAAGCACGTAAGCATGTGTATAACTTTAAATATGTAAAGATCTTAATTTAGTTTAATAGTCCGCTCCTTAAGATTAAACACACACTTATGTGCTCTGCTGGTTTGGCACTATGTGAAAGCTTTGCCATGCTTTTTTTTTTTAAAGTGTAAGTGTAGTGGTCATCCCAAAGTGCATCTTGTTCTTATATTTGGAAGATAGAAATTTAGGAATTGGTGTGTGGGAATTACTTTGTGATAACACATTGGTATAAAACTATTAGCAGGTACTTTCATATCATACATATTTTCCAGGGGCTGTGGCTGAAGCTATGGCTGTGTAGGAGATGAGAAAGGAGATGGAGATGAAGTCTTAAAAATAATTCCTGCTATTATTGCATATACATTGAAAGATAATTGGACTTAAGGAAAAGTTGCTATTTTTAGCTATTAAAAAGATTGCTGAATATCCTCTAATTATTATTATGTGAACAGATGCATCTGTTAGGAGAGTGGTGTTTGTGTGCGTGTGTGTAGTTGAATGGGTTATTATTTAAAAGCAATATTGTAGTAACACAATTTACCAATCTGTCTATTAAAAAATGTTACTTCTATCTTGTAAGAGATCAACTGTTTTTAATAATAGTAGAAGGTGGAAAAGTGTCTTTTTGTTCTCATAGAAGTATTGAAAGACTGGATACTTATATACCATTTATTATATTTTAGATTACATGGGAGTAAAATGAAATTTAAAACACAAGCAAATAATTTGTTAAAAATAGAAAATCTAAATTCTGTCCTTAGAAATGTCTACACAACTCCCATTAGTGTCTACACAGAAAGTTATCTCAGCAAAATTTGAACCCAAGTATTAGTGACTTAATTTGTTTGCTTAATATATTGGTGTTATATTCTGAGGTTACTACAACACTCTTTTGGTTACTTTGAGATATCACTTACGCTAACAGCAATATAGCTTGAAAAATAGTAAGAAGTTGTACAAGAGTTGCATCCTAGTTTCTTTGAAAATATTAGGTTGTCTTGAACCGTATAAAAACTGCCCAAACTCTATCTTGTTAGGTCCATAACTGAATTTATTGCTACATTTATTTTATTGTTTATTTATAAGTCTGTTTTCATATTAGGTTTTAAAGGGAAGTCAGAAAACAGTATCTTGGATTTTCATCTTAAACTTGTCTGTTTTAATTGCAGGTTTCTGATTCTTCAGCTGAAATAAAAACATTGTTGGAACAAAAAACAGAATTGGAGAGGAAAATTGAAGAGCTACAGAAAAAGTTGGATTTAGAAATTAAGGTATTATACTATGTTGCTTATATTTCACAAATATAAGGCGTATTACAAATATAACATTCTAAATTGGTCAAAATCAACCGACCTGATATGGATAACATTTTCTTCTGTGTATGTGAAGGCTCAGTATTTTGAATTCTTATCTTATGTTTTAAAGTGAAGGAAGTATGATTGGGATTATGAATATAAGACTAGAGGATTCTTTTGGTTTCCCATACTTTGTTAGTAAAAAATAAACTAACAGATGTTTATATGCATGCAGATTTTAGGTGAAACAGGTTAATGTACAGATTATTGGTGACTAGAATTTGCTTGTATGCCTCCTATCAGACAAGTATGAACATTTTCCATCATATGGTTATTTTCTGGATATGTGTGTGCATTGACACATTGACAGAGGATCCTTTTTTATTATTCCTTGTTTGCTTCTCATGCACTGTGTAAGATATCAACATAGAGAATTAGCTACTCTTAGGGTATGTCTACACATGCAATTAATGTGAAGCAATAAGCTCTGGAGCTTATTGCTCTGGAGTTTATTGCTCCCACATGTGCCATTTGAACCCTTGTGCCTTAGCCAGCTGTGTCACTGTCCACACATGAGCTGCTGTGGAGTAAAAAACTAAGCAGTAGCTGATTTAATTTATTCCAACTGGGAGGTTGATTAGTTTATTCCAGCCTAATTGCCCTGCACATATAGACGCTGAGATGTTTACTGTAGAAGTAATTAGTCAACTCCGCGTAAACTTCTCATGTAGATATGCCCAGAATGTAGTTTTCTTCAATAGCTGCTGGAATCAATGTTAACAATTCTTTTACTATGGTGAGATATAAGTGCATTGAGAGATTTGGGTGTTTCAGAAACTAATGGCAAATGGATACCAACGCTGTATGTCTGCAACAAAGTGGGAAGCTACATGGTAGTGAGGAACAGATAGCAGCATTGTTGAGTGCACCCATTGTTTCATACTCAACACACTTGTGATCCTAGTGAGCACATAAACACCATGGCCATGCAGCTGTAAGTGTGCACCAAAGACTGGTGTGCTGCCAAGTAAAATTCACCATAGGTTTGTGGCACAATATGGTGAGAACTGTATGGCTCAATGGAAGGTCTGTGAGTGTGTAGAGAAGTTTAAAAAATGATCACTCATCCCTAATGGATGAATTGCAGGTAGGAAACTCCAACACAACTGTGACAGAAGACAAATTGCCAAGGATGATGCCACTGTGCATGTGAACAGGTGAATGAGGAATCCTGAACTAGAGGGAGAAGTAGGTGTAAATGCTGACAGTATTCCTGCCATTTTGCATGATCACCTACATTACTGAAAAATGTGGGCTCACTGAATGACAAATCAACTGACAGATATGCATAAATGGCAATGGGTGGAAATGTGTACCCAGCTTCATGTATGGGATGAAGGTGAGGGGTTTCTCTTGCACATTTTCATGGGGAATGAGACCTCAGTCCATCAATATAATCCTGAGAGCAAAAGGCAGAGCATGCAGTGGAAACACACATTGTTGCCTTTTCCCAGAAAATTCTGCACTCAGCCATCCTCTGGACAGGTATGGCTCATCCTGTTTTGAGATTGCATGGAACCATTCCTTGTCCATTCATGGAGCACGTGGTCACAGCAACACTTATTGACAGGTTCTCCAAAACCACCTGAAGCCATCTATTTGGACCAAATGACATGGAAAGCTCAAGCAAGGTGTTCTTTTCTAGCATCACAGTGCACGGCTGCCAAATGCACTGACAACTATTGGGATTTTTGCATGGACTGGGCTTTGAAATCTAACCTTGTCTGCTCTACAGTTCTGACCATCTGCCAAGTCATTATCACTTGTTTGGACTGTTGATGGAGACCCTTTGTGGGCACAGATTTGCCAGTGATGCAGAGGTACAACTCACAGTGCGGGAGTGGCTGTCATAGCAACCAGAAAGCTTCTTTGAGGATGGTATCAAGAAATCTGTGGCTCACTGGAATACCTGTGTTGAAAAGCGGCTGATTATCTGGAGAAGTAATATGATCTAGTAAATGATCATTGCACACAAAATAGTTGTCTTTGGAGATTGCTGTTAGTTTCTGAAACACCCTTGTATAAGACCACATTGTTCATGGCTACTGATAAAATTAAATATGTTAGTTTTCAATATGGAACTCAAAATAAAGTACAGCACAGCCTCATAATTCTGGCATGCTTGCTTGGAACTCAGCACTTGGTGGAAATTTGAAAATGCCAGATTTTTGAAACCGGTGTGGCGGCTGGTCGCAAAGCAGGTGTGGAGGGAGGGAGGCAGGGATAGCGGTAGCTAGCTCTGGAGCAGTGGCTGGACATGGAGCGGTGGCACAGGGTGGTGAATGGCGGCAGCAGCCACTGCGTGCAAGCTTCCCCCTCCGCATCCGGGAGGCCAGTGGGGAGTGGCGGCTGGTCCCAGAGTGGCGGAGGAAGTTCCAGATTTTTTATAATTCCGGACTTTTAGCATCCAGATTTATGAGGTTATACTGTACTGAAAATGCATTAGAGGCAATAGAAACAATTTGGTTGTAATCTGCTTTAGCATCTAATAAAGGGAATTGTTACATTTGAAGGCTCTGTTGCTCTTATGCATCTCTGATTCAGTTGGTTGATACTGGCAGTCTATAATGTGCACCTCCTACCCTGCCTTTTCAGCTGATTACCTATTTTCTAGCTGTAATCAATTATAGGCCACTTTCAATCTGTGATAGTCAATCTCAGGCATTCTGTCTCCATTATACAAGTCTTCCCATTCTAGATTTCTCACACAAAGGCAAAAGCCATAGTTTATCAAGTAACAAATTCAACATTGAAAGGGATGATGTTCCTTTAACATATATGGAAGACCAGTATTTATCTTCTGTCTACAGTGATAGAAGGTAAATATTGGTCTTTACATGTATGTTGGACCCCCTTAACCCAAGTCAGTGTCCACAGAGGAGTCTTGAGTTCTTTCCTTTCAGGCTCCAGCAGCTCCTTTACATTTCATAATCAATGTTAAATTTCAGAGTTACTTCATCTTTATATGTAATGTATTCACCCCTTCCTTTTCCTCAGCATTTTGCATAATACAAGGCTCACTATACATTTCTCTTTTTAGATTTCAAATTAATTCCAAATATATTCTTACCTGTTAAGTCATAGAACTTGCACTTTTCTTCAGAATCAAACAAGTTTCTCAAATGTGATTTGGAGGCAAATTCCAGTATCTTCCAGATTTCTAAGTAAGCATATTTTTTTCTTCTTCCACAAGATCTCATCATGTAGGTATTTGAATTGTGTAACTGAAAAGAATGAAGTGGCAAGGGACTTTTCGTACCCTTCTAAGATTAGGGCCACTCATTTTATTCTGTTATCAAATTATCTCTGCTTAACACTTTTTTCATGTACAATTTAGAATCAGCAAAATACAAAAGAAGAAAGAGATGCTATGAGAGCAACCCTGAATGACCTTCAGTTGCAACTTGATGAAAATATTCAAGAAAAAGATGCCTTAAGACAGCAACTAAAGGAAAGTGAGGTGGAACTCCGGGACAACCTCGAAGAGTGAGTTTCTTGTAGAAAGTCTGTCTTTGTTGGAATTTCTTTCTTTCTTTTTTTTTTTTTTTTTTTTTAAATAATGTAGACTATATTTAATCCATACCTGGTTTGGTATTTAGAAGGCAGTAAAGTTAATATAGTCCCAAGCACCATATCAAGCTTCTGTTATTATCTGATGTGTTTAAACTACCACCTCAAAACTGAACATATGAAAATACTTGAGGTGAAACTAAGGCCACATGCAGGTGCTACATTTCTACCAGGGGAATTGCTGCTCTCCTGATAGAAAACACAAATGTAGAGGTATTCATCAAGTTTTTCCCACAGGTGAAATGCCTCCTGTGGAAGAAGTATCTGCCTCTTTCAACAGTGAGGATATCTCCTGAGGGAGAACAAACACTCGTGCCCTTTTCTTCCACTGGGGACTGGGAGTAGTTGGACAGCAGGAAAATGCTTCCTGCACCTTCTTGAGACAGGTGACTCTGGCTGCTGCTCACCTCTTCCCAGTCTGGAAGTTGTCAAGCTGTGGGGAAAGGCTTCCTTGTGCCTTCCCCAGAGTGGGATCACCCTGGTCTGGAGAAGGCATAGGGGGCAGCTGCTGCTCACTTCTGGGTTGCTGATACTTTCTATCCACTCTCCAGACTGGTATCTTATTGCTCCCTGCCTCTTCCCCAAACTGGGGACTGCCCAATTAGGGGAATAGGCTAGGTCTTTTGCCCTGCAGCTCCCTCTGCTCTGCCCCCAGAGATTAGGAGTGGAGTGCAGAATGCAGAAAACTGCTCCCTGCCTGTTCCCCAGGCTCCGGTCTGGAGGAGGTGTGGGGAGTTTCCCCACTACTCCACTCCTTGATGACTGGCAGGAATGGAACAGCCACTGCTTCTGACACCTTCCCAACATTGGGATCACCGTAGTCTGGTGAAGTCATGGAGAGCAGGGGAGAGGGAACAGCTTCAGGCTGAATGCCTATATGTCACATCTTCCAGAAAAAATTTTAGCGGTGGATATTTCTCAGGGAATTTCACTGCTAGAAATGAATGTTTGTGTCCTGGGACTTGTAGTTTTGTGGCAGCGTTGGGCTGATTTTTGTAGCCACAATGATCCAGGAAAATACACAAGAGGCAAGGATTTTTTGAGTGATTTATCTTTTATTGAACCAACTCTAAAGTGGGAAGGGATACAGACAAGCTTTTGAGTATGAAGCATCCTTTCTCATGTCTCAGGTGCAGGTACTTCATAACCTAAAGCTTGTCTGTATCCCTCCCAACTATTCAGTTGGCCCAATAAAAGATATCACCCACAAAAATCCTTGCCTCTTCTTCTTAATTTTAATATTTGTCTTAATGTGAGTTGTATATAATACTACATGGTCACATTGTATGTGTGGCTCTTCAAAATACAGATGTTCATGGCTTCTTTAGGCAAAAACATCCTCAGTGAAAAACGTTTGGTCTAAAATGAGCTTAGTATTCTATCTAGGTGTGTTTATCCCATTTCTACAATCTTTTCCTTTCTTAAGGAGAATACCAGTGTATCTCCTTTACAGCTTCTCCTGTTATTTCCTCATTTTGTCATATATATTCTGGGAGAGCAGTTGCAAATTCTCTGAGCTTTATGATATTTGGAAAATAATTTTACACTGTTATAAATTTAAAACGTAACTTTTCCCCCAATGAGACTCTTTCAAGTGAAGATGGAACGGGAACAACACCAGACGGAAATCAGGGACCTCCAAGACCAACTCTCTGAAATGCATGATGAACTGGATAATGCAAAACATGCTGATGATGAGGAGAAAGAGGTTCTGATTGAGGTTAGTGATAAAAGTATTTCAAGAATAGTTTATATGATCAAGTTGTGAACACCCTTGCACACATTTAATTAAATGGGGGTTGTAGAAACATGCAGGTATTTAATGTTAAAAATTGCCTAGTAGTTGATATTAGTTTCTCCATTTGATGTGTAGAACTCTGGGATAAGATAGGTAAACTCTTTTGGAAAGAAATCCTAAGGGAAAAAGGAGTTCAGGAGTTCAGCGATTATGAAAAGAGGGAATGCTAAAGGTACGACAACAAATTATCCCAATGTGGAGGAAGAATGAAAAATATAGTAAGATTCCATATGGTTGTCTTAGGACTTATTTTTTTTGACAGTCAGGTTATTAATACCTACAGAGAGTGGAAGCAAGGGCATATGGTTAAAGGGGAGTACAAAGAGCAGCACAACAATGTAGGGATAAAATTAGAAAGGCTAAGATGCAAAATGACACGCAACTAGCAAGAGACGTAATAAAATAAAAGGTTATATACATACATTTGAAGTAAGAGAAAGTTATAGAAAAGTACAAGTCAATTTCTTAATGTGGGGGGGAACAAGAGCATATATGACACCAAAGGCTGAAATATTCAAAGTGTTCTTTTGCTTCAGTCTCTACAAAAAAAGTTAATTGTGACAAGATAATAACATTAATTTTAACAAAGGAACAAGTGTATAGGGAGGATTAGGGAAAATAGATTAAAAGATATTTGGTGTTGGGTATAGTCACATTTTCAAAAACTTGTGAATTTCCCCCTGGAGTCCTTTTAAGGAACTGGCTGAAACCATTTATGAACTGTTAGTGATTGTCTTTGTGAACTCATGGAGAGCAGATGATAGTACCTATCTTAAAAAAATAGTGTGAAAAGACAGGTGAAAGACCAGTCAACTTAACTTGAACACCTGAAAAGATACTAAAACAAATGAGGAGTTTAAACCCAGCCAGTCAGGTTTGCTCTTAACAAAACCAAGTAGGTAAGGGGGGGTGTAGCCTAGTGGATAAAGAGAAAGTAGCCTGACTTTAGTAAGCTTTTGCTACTGTTGCACACAAAATTCTTGTAAACAAACTAGGAAAATATGGTATAAACAATATCACTATGAGGTGGGTGCTCTCCTTGAAAAACATACTCAAAGAGATGTTACCAATAGTTTGTTCTCAAACAGAGGGCACCACCTGGAAGGGATTGCAGACATTTTAAAGAACAGGATCAGTTGATCAGATTTTTAAAATGATATTGAAAAATTGCAGAAATGGTCCTGAATGAATAAAAATAAACTTTGTCGAGAGAAATGCAGAATGCTACACTTAAGAATTAGAAAGATACAGAGAAATTTGAAAGATTTTGAATGATTAGAATAGAAAAGAGAAGTCTGAGTTGTGATGAAATAGTTTTCCATTACATAAATGGTTGGAGGACAGTGATCACTTGTGTCTATGGGGGTTAGGACAAGAAGTAATCAGCTTAATTTGTGCCAAGGAAGATTTAGGATAGATATTTGAAAAAACATTTTAACTGAAAGTGTATAACTATGACCCCTGGGAGATGTTAACTTAAACGTGCAAAGGGATCATGCATTGGGTTGCATGGCCCAGCTTTAAGTGCCCCAGTGTGGAGGCAGCAGAAGTGCTCCTTACATGCTGCCAAATTTCAAGCCCTGCTTTGCACCCCATGGGCCTCCCCAATGCTGGGGCATTTAAAGCTAGTTTGTGCTGCATGATGCACAGTTCCATCACATGTTTAAATTACTGTCTGCCAAAAGCCATAAATGTGAAACATCTTTGTGGTTCGTTTGGCATTTTATGATATGATAAACTGGTTGAACATATGACATGTTATAGTTTATCACATGATTAACACCTTAACTGCATGATAAATACATGGTGATTGGGCCTATGAATATACTTAGGCACTGGAAAAGGTTTCCTAGGGAGGGAGGTGGAATTCTGTGTTGGAGATTTTTAGAGCAAGCTAGAAAAACATCTTCAGGGATAGTTTAAATGTAATGAATCCTGCCTCAGACCAGATGACCTCTTGAGGTGCCTTTCTGTCCTACATTTCTATGATTCTTAAGACATACACTGTTCTAGGTTTGTGAAAGTATGGTTCTTTCAGCTTGTGGTCAAGGCTCCTTTTGTGCGATATTAAAATGCACCATTTAAAATGCAGCAGACCAAGAAACAGAGTGCCTTTCTTGTAAAGTTTTTTTTTGTTGCAGTTTTAAGAATCCTCACAGCAAATCTGCCAGAAAAGATTGAGCAATGAATGGCTTGATTAAAACTTTTGGGAATTAAGGATAGCATTATTTTGATTTAAATGTGAAATACTCAAGCTGTTTTGTAATAGACAACAAAGTGATCTTTCAGGCTAGTTACCTGCCTTGTGGCTTTATTTCCTGACTTTTGCAACAGCAAGCTAGTTTCATATTGATAGAAAAGAACTCAGAGAAACCTATAGTTTGAGTCCCAAGCTTAGTCCTGTAGTGAATTAATGATGGCACATTTACAAATGTTAATTAATCCTTACAACATTCCTATGAAGCAGATAAGTATTTTAGAGAACAGAGAACTAAGACAAGCATACAAAATGGAATGAAGAGGCTATGAAAATGATTTGTCCACAGCTATAGCCACTCCATAGAATATCCAGAAATTAAGTAAAACTTTAAATATTCAACCATTCTATTTTAAAACAAGATTGAAAAGAAAATCTAATAGTAGTAGGACAGACAACAAAGCACACTGATTTTAGTATCACACCTTAAATTGACAAGTAGAGTGACTGATAAATGAAAATGATGACTTTTGGAGGTGATAGTAACAAAAATTTGTAAAAGTACAAAAACCACCCTTAGAAGTAGGAAAGAGGTTGGGAGTTTGGCACCCAGCTGTCAGCAAGAAGTGGAGGAGAATCACTAGGCTCTGGAGAGATCAGTACCAAGTTGTAAAAGAGCAGCAACAGAGCCAGTGAGATGATTCTGCTGAATGAAGAGGCTGGTTGCATTTTTATAGTATCTGCCAAAATGCCATAGTTGAACAGAATATGCTTAAAGGTTCCTTAGTTCTCACTAATTTTAGCTAGCTATAATACAGGCATTTTAATTTTGTTTCATCTCAATCATGTTTAGGAGTTGATGCAAATGAAGCAGGATCTGCAAGAAACGCTGATGGCAAAAGAACAACAGGAAGAAATATTGAGGAAGAGAGAGCGGGAGTTGACTGCTTTAAAGGGAGCACTAAAGGAAGAAGTGTCTAGCCATGACCTGGAAATTGATAAACTTAAAGAACAGCATGATAGAGAACTGCAGGATCTAAGACAGATTCTGGAGGAAGCAAGAAAGGTAAGCTGAATGGTGAAGGATGCATTTTAAATAATCATATACAATCTGTTTAATTTTGCTTGGCTGTAGGCTTATGAAAGGAGGGTAGGGCAGTAGAACCTTGAGGGCCCTTTGCTGAAATGGCTTGGAGGCATGTCTGAAGGACTGAATACCCCAAGAAGATTGTCAAGTGTATCATGATGCAGATTAGAGGGTTGCATCCTTGGTTCCTCTTTTGCTACTTATCAGACTTGGAATTTAATGTTAAATGTTGGAGGAAATTTCTTGAATAGAAAATCATAGAATCATAGAGAAGTAGGGCTGGAAGGGACCTCCATAGGTCAGCTAGTCCAACCCCCTGCCTGAGGCAGGATTATCCTTGTCCAGCCCATCCTATACAAATCCATTGTCTAATTTCATAGCAAAACTATACAGTCAACGTTGACACCACACAAGATATATAACACACTAACCTGTCACAAGTAAAGCAGGGAGACCATGGCAACCAATAACCTGCTATAAATGTTGTTAATATACATTCAGGAGATCCCAGAAAGAGGATGGCAAAAACCCTCACTATCCACACCAATCTGACCATGGGGTAAATTTTTTTCCTGAATCCAAATATGGCAGTTGGTTTGACCCTGAGTGGAGGAACAGATCCCTCTGGCCAGGAACCTCCAGGTTTAAGTCCCAGTAGGAACATTGGCACAATCTCAGTCAAAATCCTCAGCCTTGGCTTCAGTCAACACCCAATGCCTCTGAGGAAGACTTAAAAAACCCTGACACTTTTAGCAGGAGGGAGGTGTGGGGACACTTCAAGTTCTGCATCACTCTTTTAGGAGGGTAGCTCTTATTTTAAGGATCCATTGTCAGTTTCAGAGTAGGTAGGGTTGGAAGGGACCTGAGCAGATCATCAAGTCCGATCCCCTGCCATGGCAGGAAAAAGTACTGGGGTCACCCAGCAAGGTGTTCGTCTAACCTCCTCTTAAAGACCCCCAGGATAGGAGCCAGCACCATTTCGCTTGGAAGTTGGTTCCAGATCCTAGCCGCTCTGACTGTGAAGTAAAGGCTCCTGATGTCTAGTCTGAATCTACCCTCTGCCAGCTTGTGACCATTATTTCCTGGTAGTGCTCGGGGGAACAGGGACTCCTCCAGTGCCTACTGGTCCCCTCTGACTGGTTTGTAACAGGCCACTAGATCCCCCCATAGCCTTCTCTTGTGGAGGCTGAATAGGTTCAGGTCCCTTAGCCTCTCCTCGTAGGGCCTGCTCTGCTGACCCCGGATCATGCGGGTGGCCCTCCTCTGGACCCTCTCAATGCTGTCCACCTCTCTCCTGAAGTGCGGCGCCCAGAACTGGACACAGTACTCCAACTGTGGCTTGACCAGTGCCGCATAGAGGGGGAGGATCACCTCCTTGGACCTG